TCTGAGCCCAAATCCAGTGTCCTGACTGACCTCAGGCTGCCTCCCTTGCAGGACAACAGCAGTGGATAGAAGCGATGAAACAGCAGCTCTGCCACATCGACCTGATAAAATGTATTTTTTTTTTAAATTAACCTCCCAGGATCCCAGGGATCCAATGGGGTAATGAATACAACAGCATCTTATAAGCACGTAAGTGGCAGATCACCATTTGCACAGATCATTTTCCCAGGCTGACTGATCAGTTCAGGGATCATACTTGAGTATGGCAGTATTAAAACCACTCCTTAACCAAAATTGACCAGAATTTTCAAAGAAATCTCCAAAGACTTTCACAGCACCTGAGGCACATAGCCAGGTTCTAGCTCAATTTGATTTGAGTCCAACGTTAAGGCACTGTCCCCTGACCACCAGCTTCTCCTGGATCCCACCAGAACCTGGATTCTTACAGCTGCTTCTTTCTGGGAGGAAATACTAAGGAAGCATGTTCTTGTTGTTAACTCATGACCCTTGAATATAATGCTAACATAAACATAAGGAAAGTGAGCCAGTTTATCTTCAGGTGTTTCAATAAAATCAGGAGATAACGCTGAACTGTGATTTCAGAAGGAAGACGGCAGAAAAACTCACACACACACCAAGCAGGTGCCAGGCTGCAGATCCCAAGCTGCCCTTTATCCAGGACATATCCCCATATCCCCCACCCTTCTGATGACAAGTATTATTATATACACACACACCACCACCACCACCACCACCACACACCCTCTTAAAGATTAGGCTCCAAGGCTAAATAACCATCTCTGGTTACACAGCAGATAAGGAAAGTTAGTATTAAACAACCAGGCCTGTCTGGCTCCAAAGTTAGTGCCCTTTCCCCTCCACTAAGTTGCCAGGTGGCGATGACTGGAAGCCCCAGGCACTGCCCCCAGAAGTGCCTGCATCTGCTTTATCAGGGGACCTAGTCCTCCATCACAGTCTCCCACTGGGTGGCCTAATGCCAGGATGACCAGTAACAAGAATTGTGCCAACTGCTCTCCCCTCTGAAGGCAGGTAGCAACCCTGAAAATAAGCCTTCTCCTCTTCCAGTCCTCCACCCAACCCCACTCCAGGAATATGCAGTGTTTGACAAGCTGTATGTGTGGTGACACCATCCAATAAAAATGAAATGAAGAAAACAACTTTATTGCTCACTACTTTCATCCCTTCCTTATTAAAATTGTGAACACTCTCGTTATTTCTCTTACATAGCCTGCCTAGAAACTCATTTGACGGGGAAATGTGGCCCTGAGTGACTTGCATTTAAAACTGTCTGACTCGGTTTCAGCAGCCTGGGTGAAGAACCAGGGTGACAGGTCTGTGGGAAATTCTAAAGGGCTTCTCAAAAATTTTTTAAGCCACTCTTTCTCACAATAGGTGGCCCGTGCCCTGAGGTATTCCTTTATAGGAAATAAAATATCTACCCAGGAACTATCTGAATTTTGCCAAGGGGAAAACAACTTTTCTAGTCTATAATATCATCTAATAATCTAAAAATGCACTTACGATATAATGTCCCAAATAAAGCAGGATATAAAACTGTATGAATAGTATGATCTCAAGCCACTCTGAAAGGTTAGTCCCTAAGAAAAGGACTGCAATGTTAGCAGTAGTTACTTCTGATTGATGGAAATATGCATGCTTACTTTTTCTTTTCTAATTTTTAATAATAAGCATATATAGCTTTTTAAAAAATGAAAATCACTAAAAATATATATATTTTCCCAGAAAGAGACCTACATATGATTCAGTGTTTCCTTACCACTAAAAGCTTTATATAAACTTTGACTAATACCAGGCACAGAGATTGTCCATGAAAAGAAAGTTATCTGTCAATCTTGCTGATGAATATAGATACCAAAATCCTAAGAAAATAGCAAATCAAATCCACATATTAAAAAAATACACCTGAACCAGTAGAATTTACCTCATAAATGAAGATTAGAAAATCTATCAGTAAAATCCACCATAAGATAAATTAAAATAGTAAAAATACGCATTGATATAAATATAAAAAGGCATATAATAAAAATTCAACATGTAAATCAAAACTTTAAAATAGACTTCCTGAAAAATGATAAATGAAAGAGAACTAATAAATAATCTTTAATGTGGGGGGAAGGGTAGGGGTTGGGAGGAGGGGGGTAAAGAGGGAAAAATGGGAGATATCTGTAATACTATCAACAATAAAAAACATATTAAAAAAGAATCTTCAGTAAAAACTTAGATATCAGATTTACAGTAATTTAGAAGCATTTCTACTAGTTTAAGGACAAGATGAGGATACCTACTATCACTAAATACTGTTTTGACAGACTAGCCAATGCGCTATGATAAGAAAAAGAAGTACCTAAGGATTGCAGAGGAAGGCAGAAACTTACTTACAAGGTTATATGTTGCCTCCACAGAAAATCAAAGAGGAGATGGAGAAAGTATTAGTAAGAGCTTAGCAATGCAATTATATTCAAGATCAAGATATACACTGTTCTACTTGTTTGGGCCCAGTTACCAACATTCGTTTAGTAGAATACTGACTATTCCAAAGTCAAAACTGAAGAATAATAAATAAATTAATCCTGTTACCAGTAAATTCTCTCTCTTATTTTAATGTATGAATGTGTTTTCATGGTGCTTGGATCAAACACATTGTCAAGAATAAAGATTTATTTCTGTTACATAATTACAAACAATTTTTAGCGCTTGCTCTGGGACAAATAATGTATTATACACTTCTTAAGATCCCTTTGGCTCTACAATGGGATAAGAGAAAACAATGTAAGATGAGGATGATAATGATGAAGGTAGAGAAGACAAAGAGGAGGAGATGGGTAAAAATGGAATAAGTGAAATAGAGAAAAGAAGTGAGAGAAGGAAAATGAAGAAAGATGATAGAAGAGGAAGGAGATGGGAAGCAGTAGGGCAAGAATGAGGAGGAGGAAGGGGGAGGAAAAGGAGGAACAAAGCTAAACTTCCTTGAGCATTTAATATATGCCAAGTCCTATACTGAGTGTTTTATTTGCTTTATTTCAATTAATATTCATGGTGAGCCTTTGAGGTCTGCAATATTATATTTTCATTTTATAGGAGAGAAAACTGAGGCTAATATTCTAAAGTTACATAGTTAGGAAACGGTATAGCCAGAATTTGACCCAGATTGACCTGCCCAGACTCTGTGGGATTAGCCACTCGCTAGAGAATACTCCTTGCATATGTATTGTGCTGGTTTTAGGGCTTATTAGGATATGAAGATGAGGAGGAGATAAAAAGGTCACCTTCACACTCTCCTTCCAAATCCTCCACTAAGCCAATGTTCTGAAAACCTGAATCCTCTCTTTAGAATACTTCTGGGTTTGCAATGTTAAAATTAAGAATGAAAAGATGTGCACTAAGATATAATTTTTAATGTATAAAGCATTCAAGAGCACAAGTTTAGAGGGAAGGTTAAATTTGAAGCAAAAATATAACCTGTCAGTTTCCACTGAAAAAGGATTTAAATTCTAGTACATAACAGATTCTGCAATTTTTTTTCCTATGTAGCAGTTCTCCCTAGACCTGTATTCTCACTCACTTGCTTTTCGTCTATTATGCTTAGGGACCAATGCATAAAGAACAAGGTTTACATTAAGTTTTAGAGAATAAAATAGACTGCTTCCAAAATATTTGTGTTTCCAATAATCATCTAAAGTATAATGTATAGTCCTCCCTGGGGTGTTGGCTGTCCGAAAGCTGCATATATATTACATGTATGTCCCCATTTCCAGAGTGTCAGACAAGTACCATCACCAACGTGACAGGGCAGGCACAGCACAATCCCAAACAAATCACTGCCTCACAGAGCAACCAGAGGCATCCGGGTTTGCAAGCTGATATTGACAGATCTCAAGACCTGAAAGAGAGCTCTATTAATCCTCCTTCATGCAGCGGAGAAGATGGGGGAGGAAAGAGCTGAAACCATGGGCAGAAACACACACACAAACACACACACACACACATACACACACACACACACAGCTCGCAAGAAGTTGCTGGCATCCAATTACAACAGGGGGACACATTTCCTGAAAGGGACAGTTATAAAGTGATAGGACCCAAATCTTCAGAATACATCCAAAGGGATAGATTTATTCTATCATCACACTAGCACACGGGTCTTCATTCCCAGGAGGCTATGTGTCTACCCTGTGTCAGCACTTCCAAAGTGTTGGAAGTGAAAGGGTGAACAAGGGGTCCAGGTCTGAAGGGGTGTATGATAGAGTTGACAAACAAAAACACAGGACATTTTTAATAAATTGAGATAGTAACCAAGTGCTACTGAAGCAAAACAAATGAGCAACTGCCCCAATTCAGGGAGTTAGGAAACCCCTACATTCCCTAGGGGCCCACTAAGCTCAAACCTGAACAGCAAGGAGGAGTCCTTTTGGAAAAAAAAGTGGAGCGTGATTTCAGGCTGGACTAATAGGAGTACAATGACTCTCAAAGTCTGGTCTCTGAACCAACGGCAATAGCATCATATGGGAACTTGTCATAAATGCAAAGTTTCGGACCCCATCTTAGACCTGGGGAACCAAAATCTGGGGATGAGCCTTGGCCATCTGTGCTTTCACCATCCTTCCAGGTGCTGCTGGTGCTGCTGGCCTCTGAGAACCACTTATGTATGCAAAGGTGAACCACAGAGGACAGAATGCCTGGAGGATAAACAGGGTTAAAGGAGGGGGGCTTAGGGAAATATTGCTGTAGGGATGGGAAGAAGGTACATCAAGAAGGGCACTATATGTCATGAAAAGAATTTTAGATTTTACCCAGAGAATAATGAAGATTCATTAAAATATATTATGAGCACAAAAGTATCCAATCATGCTGGTGACTCCAAAAAAAAAAAATAGAAGATAGAAGATATATCATCACAGAGATAAAAACTCATTCTGATACAGACAAGCAGCCACAAAGAAAACATTCACCCTTACCTTTCTTTCTGGAGTCTTTCTTGGCGCTGGTTTTCACAGCTACTTGAAGTTCTGTCTCAGTTGACATCCTACTAAATCCTTAGTCCACTGCACACAGATCCAGGGCCTCGGCCAGGCTCATGGGGGACTCCTCTCCCAGAGAACGACGCCTCCCTTCAGAAATGACGTCCTGAGCTGCACATGTCATTCACTCCTTCCGAGTGCTGCAAAATCAAGGGAGGAGAATGATCAAGGTGGTCACTCAGAATAGTCACCCCTTTGACGTTAAACAGAAATTAGGGGGGGAAATAGTCATAAAAAACAACAACAACAAAAAAAACAAACAAACAGAAAATCTTGGCCTCCATGTACAAACTGCTCACATGATTTCCTCAAGCCATGGACAGGGTTTACAGCAAAGGAAATGAGGGGCCTATATGCAAAACACAAAACCATTTCTCAAGCCAGGTGACTCAAAATAGGTCTTCGGAACTCTGGATTTTCAAAGAAGGGCAAACCCAAATCTTTGTTTTCCATGTTACTTATTTTCAAGCAGTGGATGTCACCCAGAAAAACACAGCCAAGGCTTATTTCCTGAGCAGCCCGTGCAGATGTTCCCAACAATGGGGCACCCATCCATCAGTCAAGCTTGATCAGAGCCTTGCCAGCTAAAGCAGATCATAGGGAAGTGGCCTGGGTCTGCCCCTCACTGGCAGGCAGCAGGCGGGACATGGAGTTGACATACAATTGGGCTCCAAGAGTAAGGTGACAAATGGGACTGAGAAACTTTCAGCAAGCCAATTTGTATGTCAGCTTGTCCCCCAGCTATAAGAGCAGACAAGCATTTAATGTGGGGAGAAAAAGAAGCAGGCAGACACACATTTCATTCATTCTTTCTCTAATAAAGTATGCGTTGCACAGTGCTCAGGAGTATTAAGCTCAGACACTGTGCTGGGAAGAGAAAACAGTGAAAATACAACCACTTCAATTACAGCTAGTATTTATGATGCACTTACTATATACTATGCCCTCAGTTACTGCTTCACATACATTATCTCATTTGATTTCATTACACTGAATGAATGTATTCCCTGTGTCAAGTCAGCACTCTCTCCCAATGACTACCTATCTGATAGTTACATCTGAGAGTTTAATGGAAAATAAGCATTTCACTAGTTATCCATGTTTAAATAATATTAAGATAATATTTAAATAATACTAGAGCTGGAGCTGCCAAGACTCTGACCAAGTTAGGCTGATCAGCTACTAGAAATGGATCTTTAACTGTGTAGTCAGCCAATGTTTAGCTCATCCCACAGATCTAGAATAGTGTAATCTAACAAGGCTGACCTTAAATGCCAGTTTCAGCTCAAAATGGATAATGAACCAACCTTCTTACTCAGGACAACTAAAGATGGCTTAACTAGAAGGTCTAACATACAAGCCACATGAAATTATAGTAATGCTTAAATTGCGGGAAATTTCCACCTTATCCAAAGATATCTGGTTAAGTGTTGCTGTTTTTTTGTTGTTGTTGTTTTCTTTATTGACTTCAGAGATAATGGGAGAGGGAGGGAGAGGTCAGAACATCATTGATGAGAGAGAATGAATGATCCGCTGCCTCATGCACTCCCCACGCTGGGGATCGAGCCCTTAACCCAGGCATGCGCCCTGACCGGGAATAGAACCCTGACCTCCTGGTTCATAGGTTGATGCTCAACCACTGAGCAACACCAGCTGGGCTGGTTAATTTGTTTTTAACAAGCTATTTTTCAAAAGGACACTAGCCCTGAATGAAAGGAACCTGAACTAGAGGATCTAAGGTTACAAGTAAGGAAAATGAAAAATGGTCTTCCTAGAATAGGATCCATAAAATTATTCATAGAAAAATGGGAACTTTTCTGCCACTGCTGTGCCATCTATCTGCACCATGCCACTTACCCAGTGATGGTGAACCTTTTGAGCTCGGCGTGTCAGCATTTTGAAAAACCCTAACTTAACTCTGGTGCCATGTCACATATAGAAATTCCTTGATGTTCACAATGATAGTAAAACAAAAACTTATATTTTTGATATTTATTTTATATATTTAAATGCCATTTGACAAAGAAAAATCAACCAAAAAATTGAGTTCACGTGTCACCTCTGACATGAGTGTGATATGTTCGCCATCATTGCACTCACTTAACCTCTCCCCTCCCCCAAAAGACAACATTCCATGAGAGATGACATGGTCACAAACTCAGTTATATATGGACATACTTTTATTTATAATACTTATCATTTTGTAGTAACAAATATGTACTGACAACC